TTGCACAATACACCCTTGAGGCACAACAGTCTGTTCTGGAATATCGCTGGACACACTATACCACTGTTTTTCAAAGATACCCTGTTTGTAAAGTACTCAGCTCTCTGTAGTCTAGTGATTTTCCTCAGTCTCTCTCTAAAGCTCTTATTCAGCTCATCAGTGGTGAAGTTAGAGCATGCGCACCACAGAACTTCGCATGTAGGACTAATCCACGGGTTCTCAAACCAGTCCTCAGATGATCAGTGCTTTTGCTCTATCCCAGCTCCCGACACCCCCGAACCAAGTCGCTGAGAGTAGTCGGTTGCAGTTGGGGGAGGAGCTGAGAATAGAAATGTCAATCCAGACTGTTGTATAGACAGTACCCCACATGAGCCGGTAGCTCTTGCGGTGTTCACATATCAGATATAACGTTTGTTTTGAAGAATGTAAATTTGAATTCTACACGTGAAAGTAATAACCCCAAACACTGTACATTTTAATAGGCACCGTGCTGTGTTCGCTGTGGTTTGTTTGTATATGGTTGTCAGCAGAGCTTCTAGCAAGTGAGCACTACATACCGTCATTGTTGAACTGTCTCTCAGCTTTCGCAGATGGGTGGAGAGGAACTGACAGTGGCACCAAATGAAATTGGACAAATTGTGTTGTACTGATCTATGTGCACAGGATCATGTTAAATTGACATGCATATTAAGCACACCTAATTGGTTAGAGCAAAATTCTGGACTGTCTGTTGTGCCCCAAGAGCTGGTTTGAGAACCACTGGACTAGAATGCACTGCTTGACATTTGGACTCATGATTTTATTTTTACTGCAGAATTTTTAGCTTTTTCTTACATTGTAAAACTAATGAGAAGCTTTTCATTCCACATTGTAAAATTAAGGCAAAGTTATAACCAAAAGCTCAGTTTTCTTTTCATCCATGGAATTTTCATATGTGAAAATAGGGATGGACTGTAGTCTTGAGCACTTATGGAAAAAATGCCAGAAGTTTTGATAACAAATAGAACTTTTTACAAATTATTAAAATGTACATGAGAATTATAAATAGATAGAAAATGAATTATAGTGGATCTCAGAATGATTTATTGGACTGGAACATGGCTGTTGGTGTTAGTCATTTTCATTATTTCATGAATTTAAAAACATATTTTGATGTTTTCACTTTCAGTTTTATCAGGTAATGTGGAGTGATGGCAGGAAAAAAAACACCAAAAAACATTATACTTGGACAAATGTGAAGTCTTTGCTCTCCTCAGTTATGGTCAAAGCAAAGTCGAGCACAGAATACACAGACACAGATGTATCTCTGGTCATGTTTAGGTGTGTATACGGAAGATCAGTCTTTTCAGGGGATATACACGAATACCTGCATGTATGCACCACCACACTAGTGCTATACTTTTTAAGGATGAGAAGGGATGGATGAGTGAGTGGATTGTTGGGCGGGTGTGGGAGCATGTGTGTGTTTTTTATTTTATTTATTAATTTTTTTATGTGTAAGAGTGTGTGTGCTCTGCATACAGACACACAGATGTGTGTAAACACCTCTGTATGACATGTATCTCAGTCAAGCAGGGCCGTTTGCTGTCTCTTCCTCTGCCTGCAGTCTGAGCTGATTCAGGATCAGTTCAGTGTTGAGGCTGAAGCTGAGGTGATGAGGTGCTGATGGATGGAGGTCCGGGCTGCTCTGGCTCGGCGCTGTGGGGTTACTCTATACTGCTGCTCCACGCCGCACAGGGAGCACACACACATGAAAGGAGGTTAAAGTCCTTTTAAGAACAAGGATGTAAACAGACTTCCCATCGCTGTCTGGACTCGCTCTCTCTCTCTCTCTCGCTCTCTCTGTCTCTCTTTCTCTCTGTTTCTCTTTCTCTTTCTTTTAATACTACACATCCTCTCTTTCTTTAGAGCTTTTGTTTGCTTTCATTCTTCTCTTCTGTTTTTCTCTAGTGTGCTCTTTGTACTTGCTTACCGATTTTATGTTTGATGTTTACATACTTTTTTCTCCTATTTTCTCGTTCTCTTCATTTTTCTTTATTCACTTGCCTCTCCAGTTTGATTGTTTATATTGAAGAAGCAAGTGAATCAAGAAAAAGAGGATGTGTTCACTGCTTTTCTTTTCTCATTCTTACACATTTGGCACTCATATCCTCTCAGCCTGTCATCTGATTTCGAAGCGTGGGCCATATCAAGATATGTTTTCATGATGCACAATGCAATCATATGCAAAAGTTTGAACACCCTCGGTCAAATAACATTTTGTTGATCTTCTAAATGAAAATAACTAAACACATCTGCTAAAGAGATCACACTAAAATATGAAATATGAAAAAAAAAATAGTGCACAATTTCTATTTATTTGCTGAGTTTAATATAGTTGGACAAATTGAAAGATGTGCCATAACTTCAGCACATGCCATAACTTTATCACATTTTAATATGAATTTGACAAACAGGGAGCATGTCGATTGCTGTAATAAACCCACAGGCCGGTCTTACTGACGTTTTTCTTTCTGTTCACCGCTGCTGTTTAGTCAAAGACCAGTGGGCAGTTGAGGACTTCTCTGCTCTGTTGAGGTTTACACAGCATTTTATTATAGCTCTGGCTGTACTCAGACTTTCACACTCTCTGTCTGTCTTTCACTGTATGTTAGAATTGATTCCCATAAGGAGCGTCTGTCACTTGATGCTTTATACCTAAACTCAGGTTATTATGGCATTTCTAAGCATTACAGCGTGTTCGTTTTAACAGTGATGAGTTTAACCCTCAGACACTGAAAACAAAGAGTGAGTATGGAATAGCATGACCGTACGCTGATGGTCCACTGAAATCATTGCTCTGTTTCTCTTTCTTCCGCTCTCTCACTCGCTTACTTTCTCTCTCTCTCCCCTTTTCTCATCTGTAATGGATTTTAAATGTCTGCTGGCGGGGGCTGCTCTGTGGACAGGCAGGTAGCTGGAGAGGGGCCTGAGTTGTAAATTAAATAAGAGTTTAATCTCAATCTGAACTGTACAGACCTAAAGCAGAGCAGCACTACTACAACCGTCTAAACAGATGGCTCTTTCTGGAACGCACAGTGACTCCACAGTTACGTTCCATTCTGCAGCACATACCTCACTTCATTCCTCGTGTGCTTTGTGTGTGTGTGTGTGTGTGTGTGTGTGTGTGTGTGTGTGTGTGTGTGTGTTACAGTTCTGATGATGTGTATATGTATGTGATTCCACGTCTGTCCAGACTTTCGTGCAGGCACTATAACTGTAGGACTGTCATGAGTGAAATAAACTTGTTCACTCAGTTTAAAAAAAATATATATATATACATATAAATTCAGTTTTTAAATTATATTTTTTTTTCTAAATACAGGCACTTGTAGTCGACCATGAAATATTACATGAATACTTGAAATTTTCAAAATGTAAATGTTGCCAGGATATTTGATTTGGTCCCTTAAACCTACTGTTTCTTTTTTTTATTTTTTTTTGCTTGAACTACACACCTGGCATCTTTGCTACAAGTTCATTAAGTCTTGGGCTCAATTTCTGAGCGGCTGAGCTAACGTGAAGTGATTATGTTGGTTGAACAGCAGCTGAAATTTGTGCAACGCATTGTGAAACAGGCTAATATTAATAGAAAATTAAAATGCTTTTGGATGGGATTGTGTTGTGGGCCTGATCTGGCCCGCAGGCCTTGTTTGACGCAGGGGCTTTAGAAGGAACGGTCACTGCAAATACAAAGTTGTTCTGAATTACCACCTTTACCTTATGGTGAAACATTTCTATCCTGATGGGAGTGGTCTCTTCTACAATGACAATTCCTCTGTCTGCAGGGCATGAGGGGACACTGCATGGTTTGATGAGTATGAAAATTATGTACATCATCTGCTTTGCACTCACCAGATCTTAACCCAGTTGACACTGTGTTCCACCACCATCGTGAAAACACCGACTGAAGGAATATGTTTTGAAAGAATGGTGTTCCATCTGTTCCAGCTGTTCTGATGAAGTGTGGTCGCTGAACACTGTACTAAGACACTTTGTTATTTATATGAATAATAAATGTGCATTAAAATGTGCTGAAGTGAGTCCTCTATAGAAGATATGTTCACTTATTTTCACTACGAAAATCAACAGCACATGTAATTTGACCAGGGGCATCCAGACTCTTGCATATGACTTGATCTTTTATCTTTCTCCAGTGAAGTATGGTGGAACCTTTCAAAGTCTGCACATGGTTTAATATTGTTCAGAGCTTTTGTCAAGGTTCAATTAATCATGGAAATAACTGGTGGATTACTCAATTGCTAATAGAATTGATAGTGACAGCCCTTTATGATTGTCTTACAAATCAATGCCAAATCGAATAGTGAAAGCATAACTGTTAAAGTCAGAAGCAAAGAGGTCACGTCCTGTAGTCATGGAAAGCAGGCTAAGCTTTTTAACAGAAATGGTGAAGCACATCACAATTGTTCCTGAAGGTAGAGATGAGGAAAAAAGCCACTTGACTCTGTCCCACTCTACATGCTTCTCTCTGAAATCATGCTCGCTCTGCCGAGCCCTCCTCTGTTCCATTAAACTACCCTCACAACCACGGTCTTCCAAACGTGCCTCTCTTGCATAGCAATGCCGTTCGTCTTGTCTTAAGCATCAGTAAATCCTCACTGCGCTTGTAAATATTTTGTCCCTCTGGCAGCAGCAGGAGTCTAATTCACTGCTGTACAGCCGCATTGTAATATTTTTCATGACAGATTCCAGTTTTGATGGGCTGGTAGCCTTTTGCATAACACAGCGAATGTTGTCCTGGTAATACGATTTCAGAGAGAAAGTGAAAGAGGAATGAAAACTTACACGCAACTGTAGTTGTTAAGGAAGGTAACAAAGTAGTTTTATAGTGGAAAATTTTTTTGTTTGATGATTGTACTTGATAAATATGAAAGTCCATAATTCTTACATGCATTAGTTCATTTTCTCTCTCTCTCTCTCTCTCTCTCTCTCTCTCTCAGATCCATGAGAAGTTACAGCATTATGAGGAGAGCTGTCCTGCTCCAGTGTTGGACAGTGCTGGTGCTCTTGCCCAGGGCGTAAGTACAACAGAACCGCTCTCTCTGACTCTCTTTCTGTCTCTTATACAGCTACACTCTTTCAGGCTGTGACTGAAATGGATCCCTACTCCTTCATTAGTATTGTCCTATATTGAAGTTGGGTACTATATAGTACTCGAGTGCTCAGTTATCTATTCGAGGTGCCAGTATTATAATATTGAAATCATTATTTGGGTATTTATGTTTTGTCACTGGAAAATAAGCAAGCCAACAGTTCAGGGAAAACGGATTTGAAATTTTAAAGGGGACCTATTATGCTTTTCCGTTTTTTCCCTTTTCTTTAGTGTGTAGTATAACTTTTGTGCATGTAAATGGTCTGCAAAGTTATAAAGCCAAAAGTGCATACTGGAGGGCATAACTCTCCCACAATAACCATTTTTCTCAGCTGCCTTAAACGCCTCCTTGGAATACCAGCCATTTTCTCTGTTACAATATGATGCCATCTCGTAACACAATCCTTGTTGCGTTTAACACTCTACAACTAGCTTGTGAAGGTGCATTGGGTCTACCAACTTGTTCTGCCTTTCAGGATTGGACTTTCATTGACCGAAACTGATACAACAAAACCAATGGTATTGTAAGAATAGCCACAGCAGTGTGGAGGCAGAACTTATGGCAGGATGCTACTTTGGCTGTTGACCAATCAGAACAGACAGGGTGAGCTGACAAATCAGAGCACACTGGACTCATCGGAAGGTGGGGTTTGAAGCTCTAACCGAGCGTTTCAGAGAGTGAAACTGTACAGTATGAAAAAAATAATGTTTTGGATCTTGGAAGCATGTAAATATACAACCACAATTCCAAAAAGTTGGGTCGCTGTGTAAAATGTAAATAAATGTAGATAAAAACAGAATGCAATGATTTGCAAATCTCATAGACCATTATTTTATTCACAATAGAACACAGAACACATATCAGATGTTAAAAGTGAGATATTTTACCATTTCATGAAAAACATTAACTCATTTAGAAGTTAATGGCAGCAACGCATCTCAAAAAGGTTGGGACAGGGGCAACAAAAGGGTGGAAAAGTAAGTGGTACTAAGAAAAAACAGCTGGGCAGAGGTTCACCAATCTGCGACAAACTGCATCTAAAAATTCTGGAACAATTTCAGAAAAATGTTGCTCAACGTAAAATTGTGAAGAAGTTGGATATCCCACCATCTACATTACATAATATCATCAAAAGATTCAGAGAATCTGGAGAAATCCCTGTACACAAGGGACAGTGCCGACGATCAATACTGGATGTTTGTGATCTTTGGACCCTCAGGCTCTTTCAGGGAAGGTCTTGCATATTTCAGCAATACAATGCTAAACAACATACTGCATCCATCACAACAGCATGGCTTCGCAGAAGAAGAGGCTGGGGGTTGAACAGGCCTGCCTGCAGTCTAGACCTTTCACCAGTAGAAAACATTTGGTGCATCATGTTACAAAAAATCCAGGAAAGAAGATCCAGGACTGTTGTGCAACTAGAATCCTACATCAGACAAGAATGGGACAACATTCCTCTTCTAAAACTCCAGCAGTTTGTCTCCTCACTTCCCAGACGTTTACACACTGTTAAAAGAAGAGGGGATGCTACTTAATGGTAGACATGGACCCTGTCCCAACTTTTTTGAGATGTGTTGCTGCCATCAAGTTCTAAATGAGTTAATGTTTTTCATGAAATGGTAAAATGTCTCACTTTCAATATCTGATATATGCTCTATGTTCTGTTGTGAATAAATTTGCAAATCACTGCATTCTGTTTTTATTTACATTTATTTACGTTTTACACAGCGTCCCACCATTTTTAGAATTGGGGTTGTATTTAAGTAGTCCCAAAAAATAAAATTGTGAATAAAGAAAATGTGACAGGTTTGCGAGTACATATACTGTACTGTACTATAAGCAAAGAAAGCGCTGTTCCTGCATATTAGATAGATCCAGAAACAGAGAAAATATATTTATCTGACAAAATAACATGTTGGAGCATCATCCATTGAGGAGAAAAGACCTTGTGTAAGTCAAGAAGTCTACATCTGCATCCACTGTTGTAGTGGCCTTCTGTTACTCATCAGCCAATAAACCTACCAATTTCTCATGGCTATTTTTGAATAATAAAAATTCCTATCATCTCAGAAGTAGTCTACAGCCCTATGCCAATTTTGATCAAAGTCCCTTTTTGTCTTCTTTCTGTTGTTGCTTTTTCATTTCTCGCAGTTAACCAGATATTCATTTACTCTTTTACAGTTTGAGATTGACACTTATGAAACAGCAAACATGATGATCAACAACACTTAACTTTGGACCACTTTTGTTGATCCAAATATCATGAAATCTTTACTCAGTGTAAAGGGCAGCAGGCATTTTCAAATAGTGTGAAAAAGGAGTTCAGAGGTTTTGATATGACACCGACAGTGTGCTTTTACTTTCACAAGCATGATGCACTCTTTGTGTGTGTGTGTGTGTGTGCGCGTGTGTGTAGGTAAGGGCCTACAAACATTAAAAATTTCCAAGCGTTCGTGTTTAGTGAGGATACACACTTTTACACACATGCTTTTTAGATGCTTAGAAAAACACACATATCCTGCAGTGCGTCTAGGCTGAGACGCAAGGCGTAATGTGTCAGAGGAGGAGGGAGAGAAGATAGATGGATGTCTGGGGCAGAGAACGCAAGCAGGCAGTCTGCAGATGAGGGGGTGAGATGAGGCGTGATCTTGTGTGTGTGTGTGTGTGCGTGTGTGTTTGTGTGTGTCTGTATAAGACATTAGTCATCAGTATTATAAAACACTCAGCGTTTAAACTCTCGATGGCTCACATAATGTAAACTGAGTCCTGTGTCAACAATCCCGCTGATACACAGAAAGACGAGCGCAGATGCACTTCACATGCACACACACACACACGCGCACACACGCGCACACACACACACACACACACACACATATAGCCTGTGTAAACAGCACGGGTTTACTCTGGATATGATCAGAGAGAGCTAAAGAACACAAAAGAAGGCCAGAGCTGGCCCTGTAAAGCCCATTAGCAGGTCAACACTCCTCTTCAGCAGGGCATGAGCTCTACACTGGCTCTCTGGGTCTGAACCCGCTCCTCTCTAGAGCTAGAGGTTTGGGCTAACCGCTTAACACTGCAGCACTAGAATTTATCTGATTTGTAAGAAATTACAGTAATATTTTCTCCCAAAGTGTTATTAAACCTGATCTGGTAAGGTTAACCGCAGCAAAGGTCTAAATATTAGGACCCGACTGTTGTGATATGAAAGTCACCTGTATTGATACCAATTTTAAAGGGGAATTCCCTTTAAAAATATATTAAATTCAAAATGTATTTCTTTTTTTATTGTCAAAATTTTAAACTATTTCACCAATGTTAATACCACGTAAAAACCTAGACACATGTAGGTTCATTGGTGGCTTTGGACAGTAAATAAAATGGCTATATTTGCATTGTAGACATCACAGCCACTGTGAAGTGTTTTAACAACTGAATTATGCTGGAATTTTAAACAAGCGCTGGGGTTCCCCTTTAAAGTGATAAAAATTCCAGTAACTGACAGTATCAGTCATTTTAATTTTGTTTGATCAAAAATAAAACAGATTCTACTAGTTATACTGGTTAAATAGTGGCTTACTTGCTGTGATTATCAGTTGTAAAATGTAAATGATCAAATATGATTGTCAGTTTTTAATTGTCAAATTTTTTGAGCTCAGATAAACAGATTTGTTGTCACAAATAGCATCTCATTCCTGAATGTGATTTTCTTCAACAGCATTTAAAAAGACATCATCGCTGCTTTATTGGTAGGTGTTCCACTCATGCATATAAATCCGGCCAGAGCTTTATGCTTTATCATCAGTTGCTGAATAACGTATCACTTAAGACAGTAATTATCATAGTTAGGAAAAAAGGTCCAGACCTCTAGAGTAACTTTGTCACTTCAGGAAGCTGTTGCAGTGTGAATGACTGTTGTCATTTATGGAATGGGACCAGAAGTGGGCAGTAGGGAATTCTTTTAGACAAAATTGAAAACTTTGTGCTCAGTTACAAAATTGGTAGCGAGATGTGACTTTTAACGGTGTATATACTGTAATGTTTTTGGATGTTCAGGACCGTGCAATCTGTAGTACTTTCCATCTGTTTTTTTTTTTTTTGTTAGTTTTTTGTTTTTTTAATCAATCAAGACTTTCCATCAGTTTCAGAGAGATGTCCCTTTTCCTTACAGATTCAGGCCCATGTCTGATATAACCATTCCAGGGTCTTCTATGGGGCAAGTCCTGTAGGTGTTCCATGGAGATGGCAGCAGCCTGTAGATACTTAGTCTACAATTTGTTAGATGTGAATAAAAAATGTCATAAAAAATATCGTCCTTCATGCTTCGAATCTCATGCGCTTTTCAGAGCTCAGTGCTGGCTAGTTCCGGAGCTGAACCATGGAGAGCCGATTAGCTTTGATGAATTTCAGTTTCCTGCTGTCTTCCGTCCCACTGAGCCAGGGCAGGCGGCCATCTTGTGTTTCTGTAACTCGCGGCCTCCGTTCCGGAACTCTGTCGACCCGCGGCTCAAATACGGCCTTCAGATTTACACTTCCCCTTCAGTGTCCCGAAAGGTCCCACACAAGGATAACCTGATATCTCTGCATGTGTGTCTTTGTGGCTCCTATTGCGAGACTGTGTCTGTGTGTGTGTGGGTGTGCAGTCCATTAAAGAGGTGAATACCTAAAGCTGCCAAATTACTTAAAGCACCCTCTGTATTTTTTCAGCAGTATCATTTTCGCTCGTCCCAGTGTGGAACCAGTCACTCTCCGCTGTGTTTTGAACGCTGTAGCTGGTTAGCCGCCGCAGCTCATTTAAGTGTTAAGTTTCACTAATGGACCTCTAATTTATAGTTTAACATAAAATGACGTTTTAACCTCCGTCTGGCCCAAGATGCTGTCTAGAACTATCACTGCAGGTGGGCCTCGCTAATGCTCATTTCATACCCTCTCTAGCACACACATTTCTGCCTCTTCTGTTTGCTATCTGTTTATCTCTCTCGGTTTTGCCCTCCTTCAGTCCTCAGTCTCTTCCTAATTACAGCATGGTTGCAGAATGAGTGCTCAGTTCTTCTTTTGGCCACACAGTGGCAGTAATGAAACTACAGAGAGACTGAAACGTTTACAGATCTCTGCTTATAACACTGGCTCACCCACCATCCTTCACAGTCCCTCTCATATACAGCTCTGAGCTTTTTGGATTGATTCCATAATGAGAACCGGGTTTATTCGCGTTGGAAGGACGGATGAGCAGATGAATGCCATCAGTTGATAACATTTTGTCACAGTAAGAACTGAAAGAATCACAGTAGGTGTGTGACAGTCATTCCTTTTTATGGTTAGGGCAGGTGAAGAAGTAGAAAATATGACTTTCCTTGGTTTAGACAAGGTACAGTGCTGGGAAAAAGTCTTAGTCACCTGAGAAAATGATATTTAAAAAGCTGTTTATCTGAGCAATGAATGATTATTGCTCAGGAAAATGCATTGCAATAAATACTGTGTATCTAATATTACAATAAATACAAATAACATTGACAAAGTGTAGTGATTTTATGTATGTCAGTGTTCATAAACCTCTCTTTAAGGAATCTCAGTATTATTTGTAGTTATCCACCAGCATCTGGTTTGAGTAATCAGTGCTTCATTAAGATCAATCACATGCTGGTGATGGAAGTTAAAGGGGAATTCCATAGATGTTTCAAAATTTCTGCATAATTAAATGGTTTAGATACAAACAAAGTTATTCAAAGTGTTTGGTGTGAAATGCTCCTTAGAGAAACTTAGTCAGGATTGTTCACAGTGATGGTGATGGGACCTAGACATCTATATAGACATCTGATGACTGAGACTTTAATTTTATGATAGTTCTGAGAAGGTTTTGCTCTAAAATGCATTTTTTCAAATCAGCGGAGAAGTGCATGCAGGGTGTTGTTAAACAAAACAGTCCTCAAAGAAAACTTACTTTTTTCACATTTGTCACTATTTTACCATTATCAACATTGTAGAACTCATGAACCTGCATGTGCCTACACTGCTCGTTTTGGATCGTAAGTAAAATGGTTGTTCCAAAATGGTAACTTTACAGGAGAAGGAAAAAACATACCCTACTTTTAATGTAAGTCAATGGAACCAGACATTTTTCCAAGTAATTTTGGGTCATTTCTTTTGGTCCATTCATCATAAAATTTACATACAATGTAAAGGACAACAGGTTTTTTTAAATTATGTTCAAATACACAAATGGAGATATAAGGATTTGTTCCAACAGCAGCGAGATCTGACCCAGACACCTGGTTTTTATCACCCCCCACTGTAAAGAAGAGTTTCATGTCAAACTACTCTGAATGACTCAGAAATCTGGAACCAAACTTTGTTCTAACTGAAAATATATCAATTGCTTTATGTAAACAGAAAGTCTTGTTAATTTTTACAGCATTCATGTTCGCATGTAATTCTATATGGAGTTTTTTTCAGGTTATTGTCCAGATAAATCGATGTTCCTTAGGTGCCCAAGACTTTTGCACAGGGCTGTGTGTATTTATCAAACAGATCAAAGGCAGAAGCAGATCAAAAAGTCACTCTTTACACTTTTGTTTTTAATTTTAAGAAATAAAGAAGCTTTTGCCAGTTGTCCAGTGGCTTGCTCTTTAATGAAATTTAATGAAAGATTTTAACTGATTAGTGTCACAGCAAAATTGATTTACTTAATTCAACAAAATCCACATTTGTGATTTTCTCTGGACGACAGAGGCAAGAAGTAGGAGTGCTGTTACACAATAAGGATTTAATACAGTGAAGTAAAATGGCACCATTTATATGTGTTCTTTTGAATTGCAGAAAGTGTGTAGCGTGTGTGTGTGTGTGTGTGTGTGTATGTGAGAGCAGTTTGGTAATCATGATGTATGCTTGGAAAGAACCATTCTATGATGACTTTGACCCTGAACCCAAAAATCCCTTGTAAAAGCTGTTCATCAAAACCTGTGACCCCAGACATGCTGACTTTTTCCACACCTGCAGCCCTCTCTCACCCTGACCCATCACCATATTCATTGTGTGTGTGTGTGTGTGTGTGTGTGTGTGTGTGTTGGGGAGGTGGGAGTGTGAGTGAGTATGTTTGTGTATGTCTCTGTGGGTCACTGTGGTCATTATTCACCACGCTGTCACCTCCCATTGGGTTGGTTATTAGCAGTGGAAAAGTCTACTGATGGTCATCAGGAGGTCTTCTGCAGCACATCAGTTACACATCGGTTGTAGAAAGAGGTTGTCTTGTGCAGTGGAGGAGCGTGAGCGTCCTCCTCTCTCCCACCCGTAGTGTTTACTTCTGCACCTAACCCACTCAAGTCCTTTACACTCGGTGGGGGCCTGTTTTACTCCTATACTTCATAATGTATGGATCTTTATGGACAAGTGTAACTGTGCGCTCTCTCTCTCTCTCTCTCTCTCTCTCTCTCTCTCTCTCTCTCTCTCTCTCTCTCTCTCTTTCTTTCTTTCTTTCTTTCTTTCTTTCTTGCACTCTGTGTTTCTGTTTCTTTCCTTTGTCTTTCCTTCTCACTATTTTTCTGTCTTTCTTTCTTTCTTTCTTTCTTTCTGTCACTCTTTCTTTCTTTCGCCCTCTTTTCCTTTCTTTCTTTCTATCTTTCTTTTGCCCTCTTTTTCTTTCTGTCTTTTTCTATCTGTTTTTTTTTATTCTGTTTCTTTCTTTCTTTCTTTCTTTCTTTCTTTCCCTCGCCCTCTTTTTCCTTCTTTGTCTGTCTTTTTCTATCTGTTTCTATCTCTGTATCTATCTTTCTTTCTTTCTTTCTTTCTTTCTTTCTTTCTTTCTTTCTCTCTCTCTCTCTCTCTCTCTCTCTCTCTCTCTCTCAGTTGTCTGAGGAGCTGCAGGCTAAGCCACTGAGTGCTGAGGTCAGGGAGCTGCTAAAGTTGCTGTCAAAACCCCATGTGAAGGTAAGTCAGTCTGTTTAATTACTGTCTTGACCCACATCTCTCTGTCCTTCTTGCTATGTGCCCCTCTCACTCACTTTAGAGCATTACATAAAAATGTGTTTTGGGGTTATGTAAAGCACAAGCAGATGGCTGCTGAGGGCCTGAATGGTGTCTCTGTGTGATAGTAACTGTATCACTCTCAATTAGGGCTGAAATCGTCCATTCCTTCGGGCCAGACATAAATCAAGGCCTTTTAAACACTCACCCTGCCTCTAGGAGCCCCTTTATGATTCACACATGCAAAAACACATTTCACTCATATTAGGCCCTCATGTAGACTAATATTGACAGTGATGAAAGCACCTATTACAACTTCCTAATTCCAAACTTGCAGAGGGAAAAGCAGAGAGTAAGTGTAAAGCAGGAGTAAGGCTGGGTGGTATGGCAAACATACAACATCGACATTTGAAAACATTTTCGTTATATGTATCACTATATTTCTTAATACTGAAGCATGCAGAAAGTGTTAGGAGGGATGAAACGCTCCAGTGAAAGTCGTCCCAAAAAAGAAAGAAAAAAAAATAAAAAACAACTCGCTAGGCTAGCATCCAGTCATGTTATGCAGTTACTGCAGTTACTGTATACAACCTGCAGTTGTTCAGGGTTCCAGAAGTACTGACGGACCCATGATATTCTCTATAATGTAATATACTGTAATATAATACAATATAATAATGATAAAATATCATCCAACTGTAACTACATTCATATGGCAATAACATCTACCTTATGTCATGAGCCAAGCAATGAATGAGAAAAACTTAGAGGAGTTTCTTTTTTAATGCTGTCCTACAAAAACCCAGGCTCTAGAGATATAATACATACAATACTAGAGAGGTACTGCATAATATGTAGTTCCTGTTGCTTGAATTGAGACACAGGACTAAGCTAAATCTGTGACAAGGAAAGCTGCCTAATGAATTCATGTTTATAGTGGTAAATACAGGGTGGTATATACAGGAGGGGTATGACTGTAGGTGGCTGTCCAAAATTAAAAATGAATATCTGAGCATATTTGAATGGTAGACTCTTTCCTAATGAGAGCTGCATGGCAGATACACTACCTGGGCTCTATTTAGACAAGCTTGATGATCTGTTTTTGCAGGAGGCCCACTAAAACTAATGAACCCTCACACATACACAGACACACAGTAGAGAAGATTCTGACCACTTTTGACCCTCTTTCATAAGCTGCACTCTTCATAATGAGTTTGGACTGTTTGGATTGACCGTTAAGAGTCATCCAGAGGTCACCGTGTGTGAGCAGGTATGGCAAGTGAGAGGGTATGGTAATGTTTTTCTTTTCTTTGGTGATGGATGGGGTTGTTTTGGAGACGAAACGGTGGTGGTGCTTCGATGTGGGAGGCGAGGGGGTTTTGTTTGGGGGGAAATTGCCTACAGGCCGTTGTGGGTAGAAGCAAATGGACTTAAGTTCAAAGGTTTATTTCAGTGTTGCTGCAGTGGCAGTGAAAGCCCTGCACGCTTCTCAATTGAAAAATAAAGGAACCTACATGTCATAAGTCATTCCATGCAATTTTTTGCATAACAGTAGTTATCAATTCGGTTCTCAGTTCGATTACTGAACATGGTTGAAAGGAAATGTGATGTGACACAGTGGTAAACATGCCCCTCTCCCAACTTTTTTGGAATATGTTGCAGGTTTAAAGTGAGCATATTTATATTTATTTTCCAATATATAGGCCCTTTAAATAGTTCAGTCGAAAAAGTGAGTACAATAATGTTACGTCTAAACCTATTTTAAATCAAACATGCAATCCTGTGTTCTTTAAGTGCTCATGATATCCAAACATGAGCACAAAAAGCTTATCATGACATGATTTTATCCAGCTCTAGTTTATACCGTCATCACAGAGTGGACTTCTTTTTAAAAACCTCTGACTTAAGTGTTTTTTAATGTCTTTTTTTAATATAACTCTGGTGATCTTGATGTGGTCTTGGTTCTGTGGCCTTCTACTGTGAGTTTGCAGTAGTTGGGAAGACTAGAGGCAGTAGAGAGAGCTGGACAGTAGGTGCTGGGGGAGTGAGCGGAGAGCAGGAGGTGATTGGAGTGTATTTTTGTGTGACGGGTTTGTTTAGAATTTCTTCTCCATCATCAGGTGATAACAGATCAACCTTACAGGGCACAGCTATACTGACTGTGTTTTCTTCTCACAGCTTGCAGCTTGGTGTTGGCGTAACGCAGTGCCTACCTCCTCAGCCGCAGCGTGTTTTAGGAAAACTTCCAAACTGCAGAACACAGTGCCACATCAAGCCCTAAAACACAGCTTCACCCTCAGAACAGAGGGAATACAAGAAAGAATAATGGAAAATAAAATGTGGCTGACGATGGTTAATGCCCTGACGCTTTGATAATATTTGTTCTGTAATATTTTATTCACTTCTTAGCGTAATATGGTCGAGTACTGCTGCTGCTGAGTGTTTGCACTTGCTAAGAGAGCAGATCTGTTATTGTGCTGGGGAGAAATCCAGCTCACTGTGTTTGTGTTAAGCTACCAGTTAGGCTAAATATCTTCCATGTCAGGTTCTCTATAATATATGAGTAATAATAATCACTTTTGAATCCAGTCTGTTTAACCAGTGATATGTATAACTGAAGAAAGCCATTATCAAATCAAGATGAAATTTGTTTTTCAGGAACATTAGCAGGAGCACATTCACCCTTTGCTACACTTACCAGCTGTGTAAGGAAAATGAAATTACTGTTCTCTTACAGTAAGTTCAGTGTAGGGTACTATTTAGCACTTCGGCAAAAATTTAATTTGCACAATTTTCCACTTACTCCAGATGCAGTCGATCAGCCAAGACATGTTTGGTATCCAAACCAAACCTTCTTAAGTGTAGTACTGGAGCTATGAGTCTAACAAACCCTAGAAGTCAATAGTGACTCAAATCTTGTCTTTACATGCATCTCTGAAACTCCTACACAGTGCTACATAAAGAATTCTTACAGTGCTGCATAAATAACCTTGACTTTTTAACTTAAAGCTATATGTTTATAAATGAAACAACACAAATAATTAATTTAGATTCTATATGTCTGCATCACACGTGTGGGGGAATCAGGATTCAGTGCAACATTTTGACTCTAGGGTGAAACTGTCCAATGTGGTTTCGGAATGTGCAGACAGAAATGGATCCTTTACGGCAGCATCATTGAAATACCTGTTACTATAGTTATGCTTTGTGTACTTCATTTTGGAGATTGAAAGCAGTGAGCAGTGAAAGCTAATAAATGTCTAACACAGGAGATCAAATAGAGATGTCACCAATCTGATAACAGGTATAGGTATCTGGCTGATATCAGCAGAAAATGCTGGATTGGATATTGGATGGAATAAAGGAATCAGATTCAATCCTGTAACAAATCAAATACCACACACTCATATTGTGTGATGTGAACACCCATATTGTGGGTTGTAAATTGTAAGTGCTCCATCCTTTAAATGCAGCTCTTGCATCATGGCCTACCTTGTCAATAATGTTGTCCTGACATGTTTTAAGTGGAAGCATTTAACCCAATAAAGTGCTTGTAGATGTGTTAGACCAGTAAGTAGCATTCAAACACCTGTGTGCTGTGACATTACAACCACAGTTAACTGGCAGTCTGGTGCACTACATTCAGCTTCATGCCAGAAAAAGTGGATTTGCTGACGTTTTAGGCCAAAAATAAAACACTCTTTGACCATAGTCTGTTGAAAGTAATCACAATTTAAGTCACAATCATGATATTGGTCAGAAAAGTCACAATTCGTTCAGACCTAGTTTGTGCATGAGAGCCTGCGATTCTCATTTTAAGCAGGGAGTACACTACATGACTTTTAAAATCCTAGTGCATTTCTAACAGAGAGCGTCACAAGGTTAATTTCAGTCTTTAAAACAATTTCTTGTGTTTTTGTTGTAAAGAGCGCAAATATTTTGAGTCAAATGTTTGAAAATATCAGAAGATCACTTCAGAACTAGATTGGAGGACTAAATATTGACTTCCCTTCTCACACTACCAGATCATCCACATAGTCACCCGCTTTCAATGGAGCTCTCGACTTGGAACATCTTTTCAGATAAATTTGTAAATTGTTCACAGGGACAATTTGAGATTACAGTTTGGGCTAAAAATTATGTAGGCCCAGCTTTAAGTCTTGTCTATAAATTTTGTTCAGTGTGGTTGTTGTAATTTCTATTGATTGACCCCTGAAAATTCAAACTAGTGGTTCTCTCAGCTGATTTCGTTACCATGTCAAAGAGGTCTATAGTATTAATACAGCACATGAAATTTCATGCGCAGTGTAGGCCAGATGAGTAAGTGTACTCTATGAAATTTAGCTCTGTCTTAGCGCTCTGCACAGTCAGTTTGTGCTGAACGTGGCTCTGCTTTCCAATTTACCTCCACCCCCTCTTTCTCTTTTTTCAGTTTCTCTCTCCCCATCTGCTCTTCTTTAGCCACATCTTGAATGTTGTTCTGGAGCTTGATCCCATGTCATAAAACAGACACTTTTTTCTGCACTCTCTCTCTTGTCTCTTCTCCATTTTTTAACTCCCTCGTTCATTTTTTATCTATGGCACATGACTGGAAGATGTTTTTATCATGGAAACGACAGGAAAAAAGTGAAAAAGAGGAGAAAGAAAAAGAGAATGTTTCCAACGGCGTCTGACACACGGCATCGTTAAAGAGTCTGAGTAATGAAGCTCTAAATGTCGCCATTCATTCACTTGCTCATTTGTTTTTTTGTCATCCTGTTCTCTGGGATGGGTCGTGTGAAATATTGAAGGCGACCGAAAGGGTCATTAACTTCTGTCCGTCTTCCGCTTGGGATGTGCGCTACAGTGAGATTCACTGCTACCCCTGGAAACATACGCCCAAATATTCCTGTCATTGCTCTGAAAACTCTTGTGGGTGTCTCTTAATATTCCATTCTAAAAAGGGAATTTAAAGTCAAGGTTTTTATATATATATATTTTTATTTTACTTTATTGGCACAACATTACAACAGAGAGGTTTGCCAAAGAGGATTGTAATGAAATAGTGAGAGTAATCCATTTAAAAAGAGCTTTATTTGTCAGTAGGAGGGAAAAATGTGAAGCAGGCCGCAGAGCAACAGTGATTTATCACAGAGAGCTCAGACAGATGCTTGGAGTATCAAGGCGCAGCTGATTAGCCAACACGTTTAGAAGCAGATAAATGACTTTCTGTTGCTACTGGTTGTGTCTGTGTGTGTGTTTATGATTCTCTTCTTGCTCTCCTCACAGAGTTTGCTGTCAGTTCATGATACAGTGGCTCAGAAGAGTTACGAGCCTGAGCTTCCTCCTCTGCCAGACGACATTGACGATGATGAAGACTCAGTGAAAATCATCAGACTCGTCAAGAATAAAGAGCCTCTGGTGAGGGTCTTTCTTTTTTTTCCCTGCCTGTACACACACACCTGTGAAGCCAAATACACATGCACCTCCACAGTTCTCGCTTACTGATTGGTGATGCTGATTCAAGTCATATGAATGTAGCTGGGATTGGGCAACATGATATGGTTATCATGATAAATTGTGTCACAGTACTCTTTTTTTGAGTGTATCGTAGGTATCATAAGTACGCCTAGGACACTGGATAATGCCATGTATCATAAAAACAACAGATTTATACCAGTTATTGGGAGCCTGTAAACAACAACTGTATAGCAAATGCATAAACTACGTCGTAACAAGTAGCTGATTTTATATAATTTAATATAGTTTTGCTGGAGAATGTATCCTGAAAAAATATAAGTCCTAAGCTGCGTAAAGAAGAGCACTGGATTGACTGCCATTAATGATGTTCAAACTGCGTTTCCAGCTTTTGGCAGACATTCTAATCCAAAGGGACTTACAAATACAGGGGTAGGCAAAGTTGGTAGTATTGGGAGTCTTGCCCAAGGACTATAGTGTAAGGTGCCTAGGCAGGGAATCAAACCCCAGTCTGGTGTTACCCAATAGACTATACCTACCACAGAACCATTCTGAGACTGATTTGTGAAGCACTCATACAAATTAAAAACAAGATTTGAGCACAAATGATAAATCAGTTTCAGTGCATGAAATCAAGCACCAGCCTACCATCACCTCACTTTAGTTTCATTTACATGAAGCTCGTCCTAATTCATGCAGATGTTTTGGTAGTGAGCCAGTAATGCTTATAGTGGAGTTTGAGATCCTCCTGCTCACCAAACTTGTGTCAAAATTACAATGACAGGAAAGAATAAAATGTGAGATGACATTGTTTATACCAGTGTGCATGTAAAATAAGTACATCCTCTATTTTCGTTCTTATTATTGCTGCTACAGGTGGTATTGATACAGATGAACCAAAATGAAACTGATTAATCGCTGTCGGTGAACTTTTTGTGTGCTCATTTTATGATTATATTTGACCATGTGCAAATTTGGTGAGTAAGGGCTATGTATCATAAATATGTCTATTTTTGCCATGTGACCTGCCATTTCAACATCCAAAATGACCAGTGAATCTGTGTGTCTACTGAATTTTTATATTTAATGTTAATAATAGTAAAATTTTAAATGGTAAATCAGAAAAAATAAGTTTTCTTTGGGGATTGCTTGCCTTAAAATGCACTGAACTTACCTGTCCACCATGAATGTGTTGAATAAATATATGTTTTGGCCAAAATTGTACCTCAGAACTATAGTAACACAATGCCTCAGGTGTCAGTTCGTGTATTGCTAATGATTTCATGTAATAACTTTCTCTCAGGTTGCTTGTAATGGCATTAAATACTACAGACATCTGGCTTTTATCACTGCCACTGTGATAACTCTTACTCTCTAACTAATTTTTCTTTAAAATGGAGAGTTTCATATCAAACACAGTTTTGGAATCCCCCTTTAAATGTATGCCACACACAAGAACCACACTATACTCTCAACCTATATCCACTTGTCCTCACACAGTCATCATATACATTCAGTCACAGAACATTGTTACTTTCCCTGCCTGGCTCTTACTTTGCATTTGGTTTGCATCCTCCTTTTCCGGAGTGACCACACATCCTCCACCCTCGCACATTAAAGCATTCCAAACCAACCTACACGCACATACACATGCACGCACTCTCCTACACACACGCACGCCGTTCCTCTGTAACCTCTCTGTGCAGTAGTGTGTGTTTCCTCTCTTCTTGCCCTGCTTTCACGCTTGTCAATCACTCTTCTCTGTGATTATTAGCCGGCTCTTTTCTTCTGGACATCTTAGGCCCCGCCCATCTTTGATCTGGTTCATGTGTGAACTGTCCTGCTCGGAGCCTTTATTTTCACTCCGTGGTCACCGTGGTTACACAGACCTTTCTCTGGCTCCAGGCCGGAGGCCACACCTAAAGGAGGAAAGGGGGGAATATGAACACCTACAGGCATTGTGGGATTTGTAGTCATGTTTCACTGTAATGGGTACCTGTCCAGATTTGTTACGGAATGTCCTCTCCTTTCTATTTTAGCCTTAAGCTGATGTAACCTTGTGTGCACACAAACCATAATGACTTTTAGACTATAGTGGAAAATGCAATTATCTTTTTTTTTTTTTTCCCACTTCATATGAAGTGTCTTGGTGTTTTGTTGTTGTGGTGTGTTTGTAGATTTCTTCTTTATGGTCACTAAACTTTTTGCACCGCGGCCTGTCATGTAGAATGGACAGCAGTTCAGCTGAGATGGTCAAAGTTCAACTTCTAAGTCTGTGGCTTTACTGTTGCGAATCAAATTAGAAAGCCAGAGTGGTCTGGTCTTGTTTACAGTTCTGGACAGTGGTGCTATACAGTCTGGTACTCAGCCATTTCCAGCCATCCGTATAGCTGCACGCTTAGCAGCATGAGCTTAGAATTCGACAGCCTTTCAGTCTACACTTTGCTAAACTGAATCTGATGTGAACTTTAACTCAGTTTCATACAATCAGACTCAGACGGCCAAAAATGGCCATTATAACAACAGGTCTGTGCAGTTTAACTTACTATAATTTTCCTTCACTTTTGCCCCATTCCCTTCGTTCTGGGATGCTGAGGGGTCTGTAGTTAGCATGCCTTGCTCTTTGAGACTGATTCATCCATTTGAGTAATTGTGATTAGTCGGGTGGATCGGATTCAGTAGCGCTGATTAATTGCTATCATTTTTCAGACCATGACATCACGCGGTATTTTAGAGTAATGAAGAGAAGGAGGGGGGTTCTGGTCCCAGGACTTCAGGGATGGACCCAAACATACACACGCACGCACATACGCACACTTGCCTTGGTAACCTTAGCCTTCTGATTTATTAGCAAAAATGGCAGGAATAGAATAATTGGGTTTGGAAGAGTGCACGCACACACATTGGGCAGCGGCAAAAGTGGGCCCAGTCAAGGATTTTATTGAAAGAATGTGGTGTTTTGGATAATGTTACTGAGGATCTAGATGGAAGTAAAAGACCGCGTGTGTGTGTGTGTGTGTGTGTGTGCGCATGTGTGTGTGCGTGTGTTTACTGCTTGAAGTTGAAATATTGAGTCCTACATAGATTTTCAGACTGACTAATAGGAGAATTGTAGACAGTGCAGATGTTTGCCAGCAAGAAGATTTGGCTGCATTTATTGTTGGCGAGCACACTGACTTCTGGGTGCATATTCTACATTTAAAATGGACCTTACCCAAGACATATTTAATCCCTAAATTGAGAAGTCCATATAGTAGTTTTTGTGTCTTAATTTAGTGCTGCTCTTTAAAAACATGCCAGGTGAAAATCTGTGTCTTCTGCAGCTTGATTCATATTCTTCCTTTTCCTTTCCTCCCTATTCCTACCTGTGCTCCCATAATGCTTTTCTCCATAGTCTGAACCAGTTAAGAAAGTCGCAAACAGATTGCAGAAATTCTAGCTCCCTTCTTGTCCCTCCTCATTTAATTTTTTCCTGTGTGGATCCATAACTGTATGTTTTCTCCATTAGTATTTATGCCAGGTTGGAGCTTTTGCACAGGCTGGCTTATTGGCTGGCAGTGGCAGTTTTGATGCCTGTAACGGCCTGTTTTCACTATCAATGTGACATCCCTCAGTTGCAGTTTATCATTATGCCAGTCTGGCAGCTGCTTTGAGCAAGTGCCCAGGCTTTCACTGTGCAGAACTGTCTCACTATGTGTCTGAGCCACCCACTGTGCCACAGCCCTGATGCAATGTCTGTGAGGAGGTTCCAGCTGTAATCAATAATATCCTTTCTCAGATTTCTGCCATCCTGCAAATGTGCCATCTCTGCAAGTAGTTTCCAAATGCTCATCAATGGCTTCTGCTTGCTAGCCTGACATGTAATGGTTGTGTCGCCAAAGAGTTTCTTTATGTAAGAGCCACTTGAACATATTTGCCTTTTAGTCTCGGTTTTGTATGTTGTGAATCCCTCATGTAGAGATCTTGCTTTTCTAATTGAAAGACAATGATTGTTGGTAGAGATAGCGTTGTGGTTTAATAGCTTTTGTAGTATTTTAAAGAAACATTATTGGATTTGGATCTGTTTCAGTTTTGGAAGAGAAAAAGTGGAATTTCTAGTTGTTGGACATAATATGACATAATAATAAAATATTAAAGTTGGTGACAGTTGTCACCTGTGAATTTGAGTGAAAGATGAAGCATTTTACCTCATTTGAGTGTTGAGTCGTTCTGAATGATGTTGATATACCAGTATTTTGACATAGGTGTTGCAAAACAGTATTGTATTGTTTTTTTGTTTTGTTTTGTTTTGTTTTTTTTGCATGCAGGCTGTGTAGTGTATTTTTATAAGAAGCAGAATGGAACAAAGCAGTCTAGTCAAGCCGTAAAGTGTAATGCTGTTATATCGGGTTTGTAAGATATTTTTTTGCCAGCAGAACTACTGTTTTGCCTGTGTTCCGAGTGACCAGTAGCTTAGTGGTAGGAGAGATGAGCCATCAGTAGGAAGGTCACAAATCCCAGGACAGATGGGGTATACCTGGTTGTGCCCTTGGGGAAGGCATCTAACTCCCCACTGCTCCATGCAGCGCTGCTCTCCTGAAAATGCTGCTCCCAGACTGGGCATAGTTAGGCAGCAAAATGGCTAGTTTCACTGTAGAATCATAGAATAAAGTATAACAAAATTGTACTAATGCAAACTTAAATATCATCTGATATCATGATGCCCTGATATACTTGGAGAATGTTGTTATTGAATTTTGACACTTGTTATATAGAGCCTTGGAAGCCACCAGTAAACTTTCAGACATCCAGAAATATAATACTTCACAATGTTCTGATTTTCTCTCAGAATCCAGTTGTTGATGATTCTTGGCTTTGTAAAAGCATGTTCTGTGCTATTTTCACAGGCTGTGTTTGTAAAGCCACGTTTAAATGGTTGATATTTTGGCTAATAGATGGAATCT